CTTTTTCTTTCTTGTGAATCCCCGCGCCCTTTAGCGAAAAAAAAAAAAAAAAACTTCACCAAAAAATATTAAAAAAAAAAAAACAACTAAGAACATGATTTAAACAAAAGAGAAATACTAACTATAGTATTTATGGCCAAACTTGCCTTTTTGACTAATCAGCATATGGTAATGCCATTATTTATCAATATGTGTTTATAGTTTTATTTGCTGTGTATTTTACTTGATTATATTAGACTTTTTTTCTCTATTTGATATTTCCTTGCACAGATAAAATGTCATATACATTGTGTAAAAGGATTCTATATCATCCAATTAGATAAAAATGGTATTTGTATTTTATGTATATTCTATACTTATATCTACATACATATATATAAATGTATATCTGCTATATAAATATGTTTATAAATTATGTTAAAACAAAAATATGTTTAGATCTTATATAGCTAAGAATAAATATTTATACATATGTCTATGTTTTCCCTGGAAATAAATATCTGGTATATAAGAATAGGATCATAACGATTACCTCCAGAGAGATTCTATTTTCCTTTCCATATACTTTGACTTTTTTACAATGAACACATACTACCTATGCAGTTTTTTTTACAAGGCAGTTCATTTGTACATTTTAAGGAAATTCTTCCAGCTTTTCTTACCTCATTATCTCTTGCTTAAATTATAATATAGGTAAATGAGGATGTTGGATTCTTTCTGAAAAAAATTTCCCATAGTGTCTTGCCAGAAGGATGTGGTTTCCAAAACATATATAAAGTGAATCCAATCATTTGGTTCAGCTGCTGAAGAAGCCCAAATCCTGACCCACCCTTCACCAAGCCTGAAACCCTCCCCAGGCCAGGACCAGCTTCCTGCAGCCACTGGCTCCAGGCATGGGCTTTGGAAAATAGACACCAGCTTGTTTTTCTGCTCTCCTCAGGGCCGTGGGGGCAAAGGCAGCATCTATGTCTGGGCCTCTGGGGATGGGGGCAGCTATGACGACTGCAACTGTGATGGCTACGCCTCAAGCATGTGGACCATCTCCATCAACTCAGCCATCAATGACGGCAGGACGGCCCTGTATGACGAGAGCTGCTCCTCCACCTTGGCCTCCACCTTCAGCAATGGCAGGAAGAGGAATCCTGAGGCGGGAGTGGTGAGTGCAGCCACTCCCTGTCCTTATTTACTTATGGTCACTGCTCCTTCGTGATGGGGTGGAATGTGTGGACACTGACTCTGCTCCTTTCTCTGCCTCAAATAGTTAGCCCAGGTTCCAAGAAGATTCATTCTCTCCATGCCCATTACACCCCATTTTTGAGACAGAGACCTATCACATGCATGCCAGAAGTAAGAATGACAATGACCACTTTCTAGTTCATTTTCCATAGATTTTCTTGTTTATTGTTTTGGTTTACAAATAATGAACTCTATAAGTTGCCCTGGAACATAATTTGTAAGACTATTGCATTGTAAGAATTAGGGCTTCATTCCATGACCCTAAATGAACCAAGAACCAATTTATTTATTATTATAGTAATTAAAAAGTAACATCCATGGATAGACTTTCTTAGGTCCATAAACTCCCTAAAATTGGCTGCATGTGTATCTTCTCAAGGAAAAAGGTGATTCTCATCATTTTTAAAAATACAGTCTTGATTTTAAAAAGACAAAAGGGTTAAGAATCACAGATTTAGGATTTTTTTGGTGTGTGAGTAAAATATCTTTCTTCCTGAGTAATTAGGAATAATAGTGAATTTTTAAGTCCCTTAAAAACATGTACAACCTACAGAGCCTAAGGAATCTTTTGGAGCTCTTCCTCTCTAGTTATTTCACTCACATATCAGCCTTTCTTCAGACTTACAACCAGGAATTTAGTAGGTGGTGCAATAGTTACATCCTGACTAGCCACTGGCCTCCACGGGGCATCTCAAGAGAAAAGCACAGGGGTTCAGGACACAATCATTACTACCACCTAGTGTTTCGATCCCATGTTCCCGTCCAGATTCCCTCCTTGGCAAGATGGCCAAAAGAGCCAAGGAGAGCCACACACCTGAGCAGGTTGTTCCTCCTGTGACTCTTTTTGGGCTCCCCATTGGTCTTGGGGAGGACACAAAGTAAGCCAGTTCTTCCAGCAGAAGGAGGCTTCAGCTCCTCTTATCTTGCAAGCCATACAGACAGATAATGAAGAAGAGCAAAGGGAGAGGTGAAAGAGGCCTTCCTTCTGTTCTGTTTGTAATGTTTCCCTCCTCCTTCTAGAAGCTCCATTCCCTGCCGGAAAGGCCTCCCAATGGTAGGCAATCATTATTTCTCACTCTCTCTACTTGGGCAGGAGAAGGGCTCTAAGTTTCCTCTCAGTGTTATGATTATTTCTGATAAATGCCTTTAAACATCAAAACAATAGGCCCTCTTGAGAACCCTGCAGACAAACAGAGAAGGAAGAAGAATTTCTATGGTTTATACCTGATCTTAATGAACATGCTTGTTCTCATAAATATGGAGAATGAGGTTTTCCTCTTTATGAAAGTTCTTTAAAACCCAGGTTATCGGGACCAGCAGATGGCATAATGGCTACATTGCTAGACTCCATGTAGTGGACTGCAGTTCAAGTCCTGGACCCAGTGACTTAACCTCACACCAGGCACATGTGCATGCATGCCCAAGATCCCAAGAAAAGAATGGAGAAGGGATTGCAGCGTGGCCATCACCCAAGGGGTGGGGGTGGGGGGGTGGGGCGGTTCTTCCTTTCTGGCAAGCGCATGTGCCCTATTGCCAAAAAACCTAAAAAAACAAAACAAAACAAAAAAAACCCTCAGGTTATCAGTCTTCTCCCTAAATAAGAGTTGTGGAGATAATCACCCTCATATCCAGTTGCCTTGACTAAACATCTCTCAGAATCTCTCCATAAACTGTGTTAACAGATATAGAGAAATATTTATGTTTAGCAGTCTGTGATTCTAGGTAGACTTTAGTTGAGCCTGTTTATTATTCCCTCACTGGGAATGCCACCCTTTCCTTCACAAAGAGAAAGGAACTATTTGATGCCATAACCATTGGGCTTTCTAAGCTGGTCTCAGTGCAACAAAATTCACTGATTATGCATTGCATTGACTATGGTGGTGGTCTGGACTCACCACTTTCCACCTCATAGTGTTTCCTCTTAAGATTCAGTAAATAAATGTCTCTGGAATAGTCATAGATATTTTCCTTTGAGAAATTGATCTATCTTGTAGACACTGTAATTATAAATGATTATGTGTCCCTTTTTGCATGGGCTACTGGAAAGCTCAGATAAAATGTATGGCAAAAGAGGCCCAACTGCTGTGCCCCATGTTTAGATGCTACTGCAAGCGCATGTGCCCTATTGCCAAAAAACCTAAAAAAACAAAACAAAACAAAAAAAACCCTCAGGTTATCAGTCTTCTCCCTAAATAAGAGTTGTGGAGATAATCACCCTCATATCCAGTTGCCTTGACTAAACATCTCTCAGAATCTCTCCATAAACTGTGTTAACAGATATAGAGAAATATTTATGTTTAGCAGTCTGTGATTCTAGGTAGACTTTAGTTGAGCCTGTTTATTATTCCCTCACTGGGAATGCCACCCTTTCCTTCACAAAGAGAAAGGAACTATTTGATGCCATAACCATTGGGCTTTCTAAGCTGGTCTCAGTGCAACAAAATTCACTGATTATGCATTGCATTGACTATGGTGGTGGTCTGGACTCACCACTTTCCACCTCATAGTGTTTCCTCTTAAGATTCAGTAAATAAATGTCTCTGGAATAGTCATAGATATTTTCCTTTGAGAAATTGATCTATCTTGTAGACACTGTAATTATAAATGATTATGTGTCCCTTTTTGCATGGGCTACTGGAAAGCTCAGATAAAATGTATGGCAAAAGAGGCCCAACTGCTGTGCCCCATGTTTAGATGCTACTGCTCTGCAGGTGGAGGCCACATGAGAGGCCTGGGTTTGATTTCCAGCCACCCTAAAGGCCAAGCATGGAGGCACACACCTGTAAGTCCCTTCAGGAAGTTGAAGGAGGAGGATCATAAGAGTGTGAGATCCTGACTTTAAAATTTATACACATGGCAAAAGAGACAGATAGAAAGGATACTAAACCTTAACCTTAACCTCATCTCAATTGTCTTTAGAACAAGACATAGCTTAAACAAAAGAAATAGGCAAACCCCAGCTCCATATTGTTTGAGAGTACAAATAATGTGATTTATTCACTTATTACTCAGTGTCTTCCCTTCCAGGCGACCACAGACTTGTATGGCAACTGCACGCTGAGGCATTCTGGGACATCCGCGGCTGCTCCCGAGGCTGCTGGCGTATTTGCACTGGCTCTAGAGGCTAAGTATGTTTATGGCTTGGGCCCAGGGCCAGCTCTGCAGGGTGGACTAACACGTGTCTCTCCACTCACACTCCAAGTGTCCATGGGACACAAGTAGATGTGAATAGTAAATCTATTAGCTCTGCTGGGCATTTCTAAAGGAACTATGGGCCCCAAATCACACACACACACACACACACACACACACACACACACACCTTAAAACTAGGAGAGCATGGGACCAGCAGATGGAATATGGTTATGTCATTGGACTCCCATATGGCCAACCATGGTTCAAGTCCTGAATTCAGAAACTCAAAACTCACACCATGCACATGTGCATGAGTGCCCAAATTCTTGAGAGGAGAATGAGGAGGGATTTCAGAGTGGCCATTTCTCACTTTCTCTCACTTTCTCTATCTCTCTCTTTCTCTCTCTATGTCTCCGGCAAGCAGAGACACACACCCTATAGCAAAACTCTCTCTTTAAAAAAAAAAAAAAATGGGTGAGCACATGACTCGAACACCCAACAGCACACATCAGCAACTTACTCAGATACCAAATAGGGCACCCAGATATTTCTTTCCTTTTTTTTTTTTTTTTTATTTCACAGAGCACACATATCTTTCCCAAGGAGAA